ATATAGCTGCCTAGATAGCAAAATTTCTCTACTCCCTCTGTTACTTCCTCGGTCAGAGTGAGGTTTTGGGACTGGCCCAGTCCCGTCCTGTAGCAACATTTTACAGTTTGAACGTACGAACCGCATACTAAACATAGACACACAGCACTCAAACTATCCAGAAAAGCCAACGGCTTACCTGGATCTTCACTTGGTGGCACAGTGTCGTCTGCATACACCAGATCAGACATTGCCATTTGGGAGCAAATCGATACCGCTATCCTCGCACGAGGATAAGGCTGTTCGCGCTCGGCTTCAGCTATTAGTATAAAAGGATTTTGGTATTGAAATAAATTTCTTGGACACACTCTTCAGAGAAGGGCAGCGCCAGAGTTTAGAGTGGTCGGCTAAGCTGAAAGCCGCTTTCAGATCCAGGAAGATGGAGATGGGGTGTCTACGAAAGGAGTGTCTGTTTTCTAGGCTGACGAAGAGTGAAGATATGGTCGATACAACCTCGACCAGGTCTAAAGCCAGCCTGGTTCTTACGCGTGCACCCTTTGCATGCGGTAAACAGTCGACGGAGTATGATCCCAGCGAGAAGTTTAGAGAGGACGTTGATTAAACTAATTCTATGTGGTTTTCACAGGAGAATCTGTCACCTTTCTTGTAAATCGATATGTTGACCGATTCACACCATTCCGTTGAAACCTTTTCCGTCTCCCACACTGGAACCAGGAGTTTCGTTAACTCCGAAGTCAAGAATGAACCTGCTTCCTTAAAAATCGATGTGGAAAGCCCGTCCGGGCCGGAAGCAGTATACCTTTAAAGATAATTTACTTTCGCTGTAGCCTCCATTTCAGATGGAGGACTGATGTCAACTGGCAGTATTTGCCCAATTGAAGCAGGTAGGGGCAGGTCTTGGGTTGACGGGGACCAGCGTAACTGTACCTCAAAATGTTCTACCCAACGTTCACGAAGACACTGCTGAATACTAATCAGTGTGCCGTTAGACTCCTCAATAGCCTCAAGCCCACTTTCCTTGGACCTGTACTCGTACTTAAACGAAAAAGATTGGGACTAGTATAGACTGTCACAGCCTTCTCTATCTCTCTCTACACAGCCCTACCTACCGCTTCTCGTGGTCATTCCTTAGACTCTTGACGAGCTGGCGTTTAAGGGATTCGCGCTCTGGCATTTTGCATCAGAAGAAAAGGCTCTGCGAGCGTCCACCAAGGCAACAGGTAGACGAGATCCACCGTTTGTGTTTTGAGCCTGTTCATTAGTCCGCCGTTCTCTTTATAGATATTTGCATAGCTTCCTCGATTTGCTTCCGGTGTTCATTGAGCCGTTCGGCTGATGATTGAGCTGAAAGGTGATCTGATAGTTCCGCTTTAAAGACCGATTTGCAACCTTTTCTGACAATGCATTGTGGGCATCCGTTTTAGGAGGTTTTTCTGCGGCTGTTTACTCGGCGTAGGGAGAATCTGGTTCGTAGCAGAGCATGATTCGTGTCTACGAGTATTGACCAGTAATAGCTGCAGTCTGGAATGGATGCATTTGCGAGTCAATATCCATCTATTAAAAGCTTTCAACCATCGATGTTTATGTAGTTCACGTTGGATAGAGCGAATGGGTTAATAATCTGGAGTTAAGCCGTGCTGTGAGTTTATCGGGGATAAATTTGTTAGGGTATTGAATTATGATTTGGGAACATTGCATCTGTCGTCTGCCACATCGCATTTTATTGGCTGTAGCTGCTTCTGATTGGAGGAAACCACAGGGGTCAACAGTTGACGTGGAGACGAGGCATGAACAAATACCCAAGCCAGTTAGGTGGAGTAGGTATCTTCCGTCTTCCAGATTGCGGTCGGAAGGGATCTGCAACCGGTTGGTTGGCATTCTTTTTTTCATTTCTGATCAGGTCGAAATGCTTGCAAAAGTGTGTGCACAGTGAGATTGTGTACTCTGGGTATAGACCTTACAGATTCACTTTCTTCCCCCCTCTCTCAAAACGGGTCCAATCCNATCCCTGTGCACCTTGCTTATGCCCTCTAACTTTGTATGCGACGATCAGTGAAGTTCGTTTCACTGTATTTGACTGTACGATAATCTTAGTGTTTCTCTCCCCTAAGATTGACCGTAAAATAGAAGAAATTTAAGCTGCAATAGTCGTTTTGATAAAACGAGTTGTGTGTCACTAACACCCATATCACCTAACTAACTCACGAAGTTAGATGTAATCTGGGCAGGTAAGATGAACTTGCGCGTTTTACCGGTTGAAACATTTACTTGACTGGCTGTGTTACACCATCAGGATGGAGTTGTGGAAGAACCTCACTGTATATAGGTGCATGGAACTGCTGTTCGTTCATGAATCCCGGATACATGTACCCTCGGATTTATAATTGACTTGGTTCCGGTGGCCTCTCACTGGGTTTATTTTGGCGCCGAACTGTGTGCTCATTAAGCTTTCTGAAACCTGCGGGTCATCATAATCGTACGGCAAAATACAGGGAGGTGAATTTCATTGATCGCTGCCAAAGTCGCAATTCATACAAGGTTAGTGGTACTATTTAAGGAGGACAGGGATTGGACCTATTTTGAAGGAGAGAGAAGATGAAAATCTATGGTC